TGAACTTAGCACATCCTGAAAGTTTGAAGGAAATCAGTCCAAAACTGTGAGAACAACAGGTGCAAAAAGAAAATTGAAATTTGACCATGACCCTGTACCTACCGGTTTTTCTGACCTGGTGACCTGACCCAAGGTCACCTGGACCTGAAATTTTCAGGTCGTATGTAAAAAAAATGTCCCATAGGCTGTGCCAAATTTGGCGGCGCTGCGCGCTGCCGTTTTTACGCTATCTTCGAAAAACCTAAGGGGGGGGGGTCGCATCGACCCCCCCCCCCCGCCAGGGCGAGGGTGAAGTTTTAACCAAGATACCTATAATAAACAGGTAGATCCGATGTTTTGAGTAAAGCCCTGGTGACGTCACTGATATTTCTTATATGGAGACTTTCACCCGTAAGGAAAATATTTTACATACAAAAATGTGTATGCTATTAGGAAAAAATACAATCTTTCAATTCCACCATGAAAATTAAATAATTTAATTAATAAACTCGAAATCCTTTGAGTGTTTGTCCCAACCCCCTGTTATACCTTTGGTCACGTGACTACCATGATACACTTTGCATTTTACAAGGTTATGACTTAACCCGCGACCTGGTGGGGGGCTATTTTTTGCCCCCCCTCCAGACTTTTCGATATATCTCCAGAACCGCTGCGCCGATCGTCACCAAACTTTCAGTACCCTCCCGGACATCAATTTTACACATTGTGACCAAAAATTTTTCCAAAAGCTATGATAGGTTGGCCGGAAATGACGTCAGAGTGACGTCATGCTCTGCCGTTTTCGACCCAAAAAAAGGTTTTGCGGGAAGAGCTGTCAGGCCTATAGCTTTGCAAATACAGAAAAATGTTTAGGACATAAAAGCTGTAGAATTGACAGGGCTACAAAACTGCTATCTCGGATTTTTTATTTTTTTGATTTTGACCCCCAAAAATCAAAAAATAGATTTTTGGGATATAATAGTCAAAAAATCCAAAAAGTTTTTTGAATTTCGCAAAAACCGGAATATATCTGATAGTCCTTACCGCCTTCCATCCTCATACCAAATTTTAGATTGATACCTCTTTTTTTTGGCGAAGTTATAGCGAAAAAACTGTTCAAAATTGATGACGTCAAATTTTCAAACTCAATTTTTAGCAATTCTAGACCTCGTAGTGCAAAACAAAGACCACCATTAGACTCCCCGTGACGAGCTGCATCGAATCGATACCCATTTTATGCAAAAATATCAACTTTGAAATTTGACCTTTTTTGACCTGACCTTGACCTGACCTCCACCAGAAAGTGACCTAAACCGTACCTGATGGTCTTATAACCAACACCTTTGGGTTGGAAATGAAAAACTGGCCATAAAACATGCATCGCACAACCTTAGTGAAGTTGGGTTCATGTGGTGACCCTTGGTGACCTTTGGTGACCTGACCTGTGACCTGACCTGGTATGACCAGTGACCTCTAATAGCAACATATGTACTAGACAACTGACGTCTTATCGCTGATTTTCGACAAAATGCGTTTTACTCGGTGCTATAGCGCTTTCCCTAGAAGCCCCGTGAACGGTGAAACATTTTATCTTTGACCTGACCTGTGACGTCATCGGTGACCCCGAGGTCAATAAAATTTGGTTTCTCTAGACAAATTTGACAGGGCTATCGAACGCCGTTTGAATTTTGCGGATCCGTCCAGTAGTTTCGGAGATACGAGGGGGGGGGGCAAAAAATACCCCCCCCCCCCCACCAGGTCGCGTTATAAACAGACCCCACCAGGGCGCGTGTTAAACGGAAGTAATAAATGCTGCAAATGTATTATTTATGATGTTTTAGGCAGCAATCGTGTGAATATATCCTGAAATGATCAATAATCTGCTGAAAAGAAGTCACGTGATGTTACCAGATTGTGCTCGGACAGCATCTTCTTGAATTTCGATTTTGAGTACTTTGTACCTTCATTGAGGCCTAATAACGGACGTTTATAGTTATAAAATGAAGCACTGAATCTAATGAGGGCAAAATTTATTTATTTTTGCACTTTCAGGCCGGGCTATTCTGGCATGAACTTCGGCAAGTTTGTGTGTAAAGCCTATGGTGAAGGGAAAACTTCACGCCCGGCTGACGTCACAGACCTCGGCTACCAAATCGTGTCCGGTGGGGGCTGGTTTTAACCCTCGCCCTGGCAGGGCATTTTTCATAACACGGCCTGGCAGGGGGGGGGGTCGATGCGACCCCCCCTCGCGATTGGCTCCTATGGCACCTAGAAACACCAAATTTGGTAGGTAGGTGAACCCCCTGGAGTTCTCGTCCCTGTGCAAATTTGGTTGCTCTATGTCAATATTTAGGGGGGTTTTGGGGGGTATAAATGTAAAAATTTCGCTAAAAACAGGTCAAAAGTTTTTCGCTTATAACTTTTGATCTAATTAAGATAGAGCAAAAAGAAAAGCACTAGTGAACTCAGCACGTCAAGGCGCGTCGAATGATATACTTTTTAGCTTGCTCAAGTGTACTTAAAGTTTTTCTTAAATTTTAACCCTCGCCCGCACATGGGGGGGTGGTTGCCACCCCCCCCCCCCCAGGCAGTCTTTCTGCTCTGCACTCAACATTTTTAGAGCTAGAAGGCTGATTTTTCGTATAGCTGCTCGTCTATCCTTTCTTGATGTCCACTGAAAATTTCAAGTTTCTGTGATTTTTGGTTTCGGAGATATGACCTTGTTTTTCAGGTCATGTCATGACCCAAATGGCCAATTCTCAACATCTTGCGTTTGCCATGGGCCTTGTGAGCTTTTGACACCCTGATTTCGGCCTTTTTTGCCAGTCTTACCTCCCACCTATCATGGAACATGTTGTTCGACGATGTACAGGGGTCAAGGTCAGGGTCAAGGTCAACCTAGGTCATCTAAGATAATTGCGTTTTAGGCAAGCTGAATTTACTTTTTGTGAAGTTTTTTTTACTGCATTTTTGGTAAAAGCCTCTCAGATCATGATTTTATGTGATATGGACCCAAAAACAATCGGTGCACACATCAGTATACACACAGACACACACAGACATACAAACACATATAATTGACCTTGACCTAACTTGACCTGAAATGACCTCAGCAGCAAAATTCTGGTCGGATAGTGTGACAAAGAGGTTCTAGCTGGCTTGGCACCAGAAAACAGCATCGTCATCGGTATTTGATAAGCAGCGCACTTGATATCCAACGGTGACCCAAAACAGCAACATTTTTTAGTTTGACCTGACCTGGAAGGTCAATGACTGACCTGAGAAGGTAAAACTGGGTATCATTGGATTCGTCTCTTCCCAAAGAATCTTTTTGGTCTTTACTGCTAAGCTCTATCTCCAACAGGAACGAAATGGCGCGGGGGGGGGTGGCAACCACCCCCCCCCCCATGTGCGTTCTAGGATGGGAAAATGGCATGTGCGGGCGAGGGTTAAGTAAACTTAAATTAATAAATTAAGTTCAAGTTAACACGCGCAGTGGAAGGGGGGGGCGGATTTCGCCCACCCCTCCTGTTTTTCGCCAATAACTCGCGCCGCAAGCATAATATCAATGTGAAATTTCGGCTACCTGTCCAGAATTGAATTGCGGATCTTCTCGTGCAAACAGTAAGAAAATCGGTTCACAACTTTTCTAGTAATAGCGGTGTAAAGTCAAACATCCTGCCGCCGCGGCGGCGCGGCGGCGCGGCGGCCGGCGCTAGCCGTTACGCGCCGCCTGAATTGTAGGCTGTGCCGGGGCGGGACGGTTCCGTCTTTACATCGCGCTCCTTACCGCTGATTATATTAGATTCGCGTCAAATTCGGTGAGAAGACTGACAAATGTACAGGCAATCATATGGTCAAAGAATTTTGAAAATCGGCCGGTAGCAACTTGAGTTATGAGTGTGTAAACACAAAATTGTGATTGCCGCGTTTCCCGCGTCGGCCGATGCCGCTTCAGCCGGCGACATCTTACCCTTAGCAGGCTTCTAACTGCCATATTTATTGTTGGATTATCTAGAAATTCACCATACATACTCACAAATGTTTGCTCTTTCGTATAAAGAAAGATTTAACAAAATCGGCCGGTAACTTTTTGAGTTATCGGCGTGTAAACGAAAAAAAGTCGCTAATATGGCAGATTTGACCACATTTGACCTCATTTGACCTTGAAGATATTGACCTAGGGTCATGAAATTCACACATAACAGAGTTCCCCATGGCCTCCACCTACCCTCCAAATTTCGTCTTTCTAGCTCCAGTGGGAGCTGAGATCTTAGGGGGGGGCGACATCCGCCCCCCCCTTCCACTGGGCGTAGTACTCGCAACCCTTCCACTGCGCGTGTTAACCAAATTGCATCATATCGCATATCATTCGATTTGGCTGATCACCAGGAACACAAAGATACCATTTTTTAAGCTCTAGCGTCATTATGTGCCAAGTTATTGGCAAAAACGTCATTTGACCTCAGTTGACCTCATTTGACCTGACCCATGGATAAGTACACCAAACAAAGAAGCACCAAGTGACCTGCTGTTAATTACTGTGGTTTGAAAGCACAAAAGTGATAGAACGAAGCGGATATCTCCAGTATTTTCCGAATTTAGTATTTTCCCATAGGCTTAACATTATGACCTAATGACCTAGGGAGAGATCCTAGGGAGATCCTAGGGAGAGGGGGGGGGCTCTATCGCCCTTCTGTGCAAAGTTGTCCCATAGTCAATTTTTGTCAAACCACTTTGAGATATGCAAGACTCTGAGTTGTCCATAACGATGACCTCAACATGAGCTAACGACGGGCGGGCGTTTTTCACAATTCAAAGTCCAAACCTTCGGGCCACAGCGCTCCTCGAAAAGCGCTGCCCTCGAGTAACGATGACCTCAACATGAGCTAACGATGCACGTTTGTTGTTTTGTTCGTTTCTTGTTGTGTGTGCCTATTTGTCCATCCCAGAAATGGCAAGTGCTCACTCAGCTGCACGTTTCGGTCACTCTGACATGTTTTTGTTGTTTCTGTTCGCAGCTCGACTCCATGGTGTTTCTGAGACTGATGTCGACATTTCAGTCGGTTCCTATTCTGATGTCGGCCCTGTCATCTGACGACATATTCCGGCACCGACGGCAGCAGATGGGTATCTTGGACTGGATCAAATCTGACTCTATTCAAACGTTATCATTGTATTTAGCACAATAAATGTGCTTTCCATCTGCTTAATCTAGTTACGTTGAACCATCTTATTTTATTGCAAATATCCTGGCTACCTAGTACCTACCTATACCTAGCTAATCTGAAACGCAAACATGATAAATAAATCTATGCAGCAGCTGAAAATGATTCATAATTTGCTTCCTCTATAAACAAGTATGACTGTCAGATCTTCCCGTTTTGCTGTATTCGTAGAGTTCGACGCACCTTTCAACGATATGCGTCTCGTTACCAATAACCCTTTTGTTTGTGATTGCAGCTCTGGCCTGGCGTTGCTGTGACTGGTGCTGCCACCTACCCTAGCATCGGTTGATGGTGCTGCCATCTGTCAAACTGCTTTCGGAGCCGACTGCAGCTCATATTTTGGACATTTGGCTCCAAGGGCAGTCTTCCCTACTGAGGCTTTTCAACACCGTGGTATTGGTATTGTATTGGAGGTATGAACGGGATTGCATAAACTTTGGCATCATAAGAGAGATGCAAACTCTTACAGATATTCATTAGCATTAACCCTATTCCTGGCGGGGGGCCTCAGGAGCCCCCCCCCTGAGGTTTTTTGGTTATTTCTCCCAAACGCGTTGAGCTAGGAAGCTCAAATTTTCTGACTTTTCCTAAAAGGCTTCTACGCAACATGTCTGAAAATTTTGAGTTGATCTGACCTCAGGTCAGGTCACCAGAGGCGGTTTGGTGACCCTACCTCAGAAAAGTTTGCAATCACGCCAGAGCTAGAGTTTTTGACCGATCAATTTCTTCTCTTCAGGGTTTAGTTAGGGTACCAGTATGTGCAATTTGTATATCTCGGAATTTTGATATCGGTGACCTAAGGTCAGGTCAATTTCGCGACCTCCCCATTATAAGTCAATGGGGGAAAAATCAACTCCCTGTTTTTACCACTAAAACGGGTCGGAATGGCCCCATATACCATACATGACTTCATATACGATCAACCTTCACTACCTTGAGGTCTGTTTTGCTGTTGGGCAGCTGTGAGGTCATGTGACGTCATCAAAGGTCACCAAAGGTTTTTGGCCAATAACTCCGTACAGGAACAAGATACAGACGCGTGGATGGTCTCATTGTGTTCAGCTCGTCAACACGCATCGAATGATATACATGATGACCTCGAGGTCACGTGACCTGAGGTCAACCTTTGACCTTGACCTTTCGAGGTCAACATATATCATTCGATGCGGATTGACGAGAGGATCACGATGATGCCCTTAGTTTGTTCCTATCTTGACTAATTCGAAAGTTATTCGAGAAAAACTCTCTCCATATCTAGCGCCGCCATTTTGACTTTTTCGACCGCTGTGACGTCATCTTTGACCTGACCTGAAAATGACCTTAGTAAAAATTGTAGATCTTGGCCATGCGTATCCGATGCCGTTTACCGCTTGTCGCTATCTTGCTTCGTTCTCGAGATCTCAGGGGGGGGCCGAATCGGCCCCCCCCCCGCCAGTTTCTTGTCCCGGCGGAGCCCGCCAGGAATAGGGTTAAATGTCGCATTTGGACCATAGGTACAATAGAGCGTATATCTAATCATACAATCATACTAATCATAACATTATATCATATAATTTACTTATATATGTAGAATTGATCAATGCCACGGGTCCCATTCTGATTCAGGATCGGTCCACGGCCATTGAACAGTCGGTGGTCTCTCGTATTGCCGCTGTACAGTGATGACCAATCCGGTCCAGTGTTGTGGCCACCGGGTGACGGAGTGCACCGCCCACTTGTGTGTGTGTCTGTGTGTCAGCGGGAGGGGGAGGAGCCACCCGGAGTATAATCCACTTTTCTATATAACTCACTAATAAGCAGTCTTCCTGGAAGTGACCGCTTGGCGTAATAGGTAGCGAAGTTGCATTCCAAGCCAGGGGTTGCGGGTTCGGGGCTGGGTTGATCCATTTGCTTTTGCCTGTGTTTCTAAGTAGCATTTATTCAGTGAGTAACTCTGTCGCTAAAGCGAAACCCGCGCGGCGGCGCCGGCGGCGGTCTTACCTTGTGTGTCGTCCTCCGCCAGGTAATGCTGCAGCAGCTGCCACCGGTCCGGCCACCGGCCGACGGCCGCGTCGTAGGCCGCGCGCAGCCGGTCACCGGTCAGCAGCTGCTGCAGCCGCCGGCGCCAGAGGCCGGCCGTGGCGACCACCGTCGGGCCGTCCATCTCTGGTAGATCGTCACGGAGCCAGTACTGCAGGTCACAGCTGAGGATCTCCTCCAACATCTCCCGGCGCTGCTGGTAGGTGGCCGGTGGTTGGTAGTTCCCCTCAAAGGCCTCCTTCAGCTTCCGGTCCAGCTCTCGCCACACGTCCATCATCAGCGGCACGGCCTCACCGAGGGCCCGCAGCAGCAGCTCGGGCCGCAGCAGCAGCTCGGCCCGGCCCCGCGGCGTGTCCGGCTCGGCGGTCAGGCCGGCCGGCCGCTCCCGGCGACACCAGGCGGTCACCGCGGCCGGCTCACCCAGCAGGTACACCAGGTCGGAGTCGGTGAGGAGCCGGGTGAGCGGCGTCACGTCGAGCGTGACGGTGACGTCACCGACCAGTGACGTCATCGGCTCGCCGTCCGCCAGGTCCGCCGGGTCCACCACGCTCCAGGCCATGAGCAGGTGACACTGCTGGTGGTGTGTCCCCGACATCATGTGGTGGTACCACTGGAGCAGGCGGGGGGCCGCGCGGACCAGGCGGGGGATTTTGGCACTCCACCAGCTCTCCCAGCAGGGAGCCGTGGGGCGGAACCTGATACCATTATACACAGCCTGCCGGAGGAGCGTCCGTCCCAGACGGAGCCGCAGCTGGCGCTCTGAGAGCGGCTCCGTCGGCCGCCCCTCCAGCAGGGTGTTCAGGGACCACTGCCGCTTCTCACAGCAGGCCATCAGGAGGGGTGTCAGGTGCTCCCTCACCAGCCGGAGGGAGCCGATGATGGCCTGCCGCTGGTCCGCGGTCAGCTCCGCCGCCACGTTAATGGCCGGGTAGAAGTAGCAGGGCAGCACTCCGTCATCGAGGCGCCGCTCCAGCCAGTCCAGGAGCCGGTGGACGCCGTCCGTGACGCCCGTCCGCGGTCCACCGTGCGGCTCCTGGGCCACCCAGAGCGCCGCCGTCTTTATAAAGTACGACTTTAAGTCGTCGATGGCTACCCCGCTCTCCTTTAGGATGTTTTTAATGGCCTTTAGGGCTGTAACCGCAGCCCGCAGCCCCGGGCAGAGCTGACGGACGGCCAGCAGCTCCGCCCGAGACAGCGAGATGCGGTACTCAATAGACTCCGTCTTACTGCCCGGCCGGCCGGTGGGCACCAGGTGGACCCCGAAACTGGTGTCCCAGGGGGCGCCGTCGGGCCAGACTGGCGCGGGCCACCAGCCGCGCACCAGCAGGCAGAAGACGAAGTCTCCGCCGCCGTGTTTAGCACCAGGCCTCTTGACATTGACTGCCGGGCCGGTGGGGGTGATCTCACCAGTCATACCGACCCGGCAGTAGTCCAGCATCAGCCGACGGATGGAGTCGGCCGGCAGCGCCTCCAGCGGCTCCTCGTGGCCGCACCGGGCCGTCCGCACCCAGTGCAGCGTCACGAAGCCGGCGTTGTCGGTCGGCCGGGCCCACAGCTGCGGCGCAGAGCGCGGCTCGATGTCGGCCGGCTCCGCGCCCGGCGGCGCCCAGCGGAAGGGGCCGTCAAACTCCAACATAATGTCGAAATCCGACGTGCCCCCCTTACCCATGATAAGGTCATCCAGCCCCTCAGCCGAGCTCCCCGACCTGTTACAGGTGACCAGCCGGAGCGGCTGGCGGGGCTGGCAGTGACGACACCGGGCGGCGGCGGCGGCGGCCCCGACCTCCGTCAGCGCCGACAGCAGAGGGCTGACCACCAGATTCCGGACGGCGTCACCGACCTCCTGGGCGGTGATGTACGCCTGTAGTCCCGGGCCGGGGTTGTCCACCAGGTCCCGCGCCACCAGCAGCGTGTCGGCGACCAGATGGGCCGCCGACCCGCACCTCTCCACCAGCTGCTGCACCGCGGGGCTCAGAGTCCCCACCAGCCTCCTCCCCTGCTCCAGCCTGAGGGCAGAGATAGCGTCGAAGATGTTAGACATCTTGTTGCTGTAAGAGGTCACTAGCAGGTAGCAAATCACACAAAATCACTCTGGCACTGTCACAGAAGGACTGGCCGGTGCCGGCCGGCGCCGCTGCTGATATACCGACCGCCGGCGGCGGCCCCGATAAGAGCCGCCGGCCGCCGGCAGCGACAGGCGCGCGGCGCCGACTGGAGCCGGCCGGCGGCCACCTCCGGCTGCCGGCGTCACGGCCAGCACAGAGACGAGCCGGGCCGGCGCGGGGCGACACACCAGAGGTGGTACCCGCGCCGATCTATTCATTACAAAATAAATCATTTTTTAGCCTTGTTAGTTGCAAACAAACATAATTGCCTTGTTCCGTGCTGTTTATACACGACGTATGATGTAAACTACCTCCCCCGGCTGGATGAGCGAAATAATCGACTCGTCTGTCCATACTGGAACGTCCAATGAACACCGAGTGCGGTGATGCTGGAACATCAGTGCTGAAGTATTGAAATAAACGACTTCTTGGAACCCTTTGCTGTCTGCTGGGGGGGGGGGGGAGCGAGGGGGAGCTAGAGATGGGGGGCACGCAGCTCACACCTATCCTGAAAACTAACGGTTCAACATCGTTTGTAGAACGGTGATTGGCGATTGCTTGGAAGTGAAGGCTCAACCATCAAACGTAGGTAACATGCAAGCACAATCATATAGCGTAGGAACAGGGGGGAGGGGCTGGCCCCCACTTTCGGAGGTGAGGGGGGCAGCAGTGTTAACTGCCCCCCCCCATTTTTTTGCTGACTTTAGTGTCTGACTCTGTCTGTACCTACCTACCACCCGGCCTACTCTAAACACCAGAACTTGACGACTATTCAGCCTGCCCTTTAACCCTCGCCGGACCTATTGGTTTTC